GAGGTTATTCTAGGCTGAGGGGAAAAGGATATGGTTTTAGGAAAACTAAAAAGTGGTTTGGGCTCACTTGGGGAGGATGGTGAATACTCCTCTCCAAAGTTATTGCCACCCCTTTCTCAGTCTGTCTGTTTCTTGACCTCTCTGCAGCCTTTGGCACTGTCTGTCAGTCACTCCTGGACCCTCGGTCCTCTCTGGGCTTTCATGATGAGACTCTGTCCTGCTCCTCTTGTCTCTTCTCCTTCTCTGTCTCCTGTGCTGGCTCTTCATCCAGGTGCTCCAGGGCTCTGTCCTGGAACCTCTTCCCTCTTGGGAATCCATCTCAGCAGCTCCCATTGGGCCAGTTCTCTTTGTGCAGGTCATTCCCCGCTCTGTCTCTCGCCCCTTGCCTCTCTGCAGAGCTGCTGTCATGGTTAACTAATCGCCTTTTTGAACATCTTCCAGCTGAAAGTTCTGTATGCGCCCCAGCCACAATGTGTACAAACGCTTTCCTCTTCTGAATGGATTTCCTTAATATTGTCTAAGCCATCACCATCCTCCCTGTGTCCCCCAGACAGTGTTGGCATCATCCTTGACTTATTCTCATTTGCTGCTTCTATTCAGTCCATTGGCATATCTTGTTTCTGCCTTCCTGACATGTGTTGCATACACCCCCTTCTCTCCCCTGGCCCAGTCACAACCCCAAGTCTGGCCCTCCTTACTTCTTGTTGACTGGAGCATTGTAATAACTTTCTCATTGGTCTAACTACTTCAGGTCTCTTCCCACTCCAGTACCTCCTCCATGCAGTTGTGAAGGAGTAGAGGTCTAGCTAGGTCACCCTCCCCTCCCCCATTCCATTCCTCGGTGAGCTTCAGTGGTTCCTTATTCCCTCCAGGATCAAGTGTGAAAACCTCTTCATAACCTGGCCCCTTTCCGTCTTTCTGGTGGTCTTCCAGGAGTGCTGGTGTGCTTGCCGATCCTCTAGCGCGATACACCAACATCCGCCATTCCATCTCCTTTGGCTTTCCTTGTTTGTTTGTTTTCACTGACTAGAATGACTGTCTCCTCACCTCTGCCTCTGACTTCCTTCTGGTCTCCGCTCTGGGGTGGGGAACCTGCTGCCTCGAGGCCACATGTGTGGCCCTCTAGGTCCTCAAGCCCTTTGACTGAATCCAAACTTCACAGAACAAAGTTCCGCGTGCCCACCTTTTGCAGGAAGCCTTTCTTCCCTTCTCTCCCAATGCTAATGCCCAGCCCTTTCTGATTGTCTTAAATTGCTCTGCTTTGTATATTTCTTGTACGTACTCAGTTATTCCCATCTGAATGTCATCTCCTTGAGAGCTGGGACCATGTTTTTGTATTGCTTTTGCTTTGTACCCTTAGTGCTTTGCTCTGGGCCTGGCACATAGGCGCTTGATAAATCTTGTGTTAAGAGTACCAAATTCAGCAGCATAATAAAAAGCTGCCATATTCAATATATATTCCATGCCGGTTCCTAAACTGATTTATTCATGTGAGTGGGTGTCTAAAGATGACATAATAGATGTTCTTTATTGTCCTTATATCGTTGCTTGTTTTTGGTTTTTAGATGAAACTATTATTAGATGAATTTTAGCAGAATTCATTTTTCCATTTGAGTATAAAGGGCCTGTTAACAACAGAATGAATTACACATAATGGAAAAAATGAATCTTTGACATTTTGAAGAATTTTCTAAGCAGAGCTAGAAACAAACTATCTACTGTTCATATCGCCGTGTGTAAGATCTCAGTTTTGCTTCTTGTGCTGACTCCTCTCATTCTTTGAAATATTTGCATTTTGAGTAGGTATGACTATCAGGCTAGAGCTCTTACTGGTGAAAATCAATGAAATTGAAAGAAAATTAATATTTTGGCCACAATATGACAAGGTAGAAATAGTTTAATTAGTACATTAGAAAACATGTCAAATTTGAAAAGTAAAAAATTCCATCAAATCTGGTAAGCTGTCAACGGTTTAGCAAAGGGTGACAGGTCTACAGACTGTTGTCACTTGTAGTACATTTGAGTTAGTTCACTGGCTCTAAGAATTCAGTTCAACACGCATTTTATTGAGTGCCTACTGTGTGCCATGCACTGGACATAGAATCTTAGCGTTTTGTTTGTAGCAGATCCACTGTTAGAAAAAAAGGAAAACATCGATTCTTATAAGCAAGCTTTCTGGGTGCACCCATTTTAATGTGGACAATGTTAGTTCTTCCCGGTGAAATGGGTTTGGAATTTTGAGGATGAAAAAAGGGCTTAATTGTGTAACTTGTGTGGATGTGGCACTCTCAAGTTAGCAAAGAGCTCTGATCATCTTCTCATTTGAGCCTTAATTCTCTGAGGCATAATAAAGACCATAGGTTTAGAGCTGGCAGGGATCTTAAATTTTAGAGTTTGACAGTCAGTCACCAAGCATTTTTTAAGACCTTTCTCTGTGCCAGGCACTCTGGTAAACAGTAGGAATGCAAATAGAAGTGGAAAGAAAGGCAGTATCTGCCCTTTAGGAGGTGACGGTCTAATGGGGGAAGACCACACGTACAAGGGAGCTGCAGAAGTGAGGGAGAGGTAGGAGGTACCTGGCTCAAGGAGAATGGCAGAGCCAGGCCAGCAGGCAGCCTGCAGAAGGAGGAGGGCCTCTCAGGGAGTCCTCCCTGTGAAGTTGGCCAGGGCTGTCTGCCCATTCACCTCATGAAGTTGCAAGCAGATTTTTGAATCCAGATTTCTTGTTGGTATCTACTCTGTCAGACCATCTTTTATGATGGAAAGTAAAATAATACATAGAGACATTCAGCGACTGACACTGTTCCATTGAATTCCAGTTGAACATGTTGTGTACATGTTGCTTTTCCAGAGTGTTTGTCCGCCCATACGAGCACTTTGTCATGCATACAGGGTACTTGGTTTGTGTGGCCACCAGAGTGGGTGTAGTCACTTAACCTTCAGCTATAGATATGTGATCCTTTAACTTGAGGGCCAGGGTCAAGGGAACTTTTTTCTTATTTTTTAAGGATGGGGATAACTGCAAGTGTTAATAGGCAGCAGAGAAGGTTGCAGTACATAGAGGGTGGGAGGGCAGGGAGAGAGAGAGAATCTGATTGGACGGGCAGCCTGATAGAGGAGAATGGAGGCAGCAGATTCAAGGCCCTTGGTGAGCAGGGTCACCTCTTCATCAGCAACTAGTGAAGGGAAAGAGAATGAGTCAGCATGTGAGGACATGCATGGCCAAGGATTTAGTCTGTTCTGGGGAAATCAAGGCCTTAGTGAGTACAGGAAAATGGTGAGGAAGAGGTCTAAGAACCATGGAAGGTTGTTAGTGATAGAAGAGGAACTGTGGAAGGGAGCTGTCAGAACAGTATTTCAAGTACAGAGAATGGGAGGCTGAAGGGAAGAACTTGTTGGTGGTTTTTTTTCCAAATAAAACTTCATGATTTTCAGTGGCGTTGTAGTTAACCATAATGACCAAGGCTAGCTTAATTTTTTTCCCCTTTAGCTTCCAATTAAAGCTGGACAACAGACTACCCACACCAAAGTCAGCACTGAACACAACAAGGAGTGTCTTATCAACATTTCCAAATACAAGTTTTCTCTGGTTATAAGTGGCCTCACCAATATTTTAAAAAATGTTAACAATATGGTAAGTATTTGATTTACTACCCTTTTTACTGGGGGTATTTTTGAATATTAATCGTGGCATGATTTTGGGAGGACTTTATCCTCTAACTTGTACTGGAGAAAGTGTTTAATAAATTAGCCTGTCTTGTAGGAAAGCACAGATGCAACATATTCTCCCTTCCCCTTTTTTTTCTTTCATGTAAAGTTTTTCATTAGCTTCCTCTATTAACGGTGACCTTCTTGGTGTTGATCAGAACATGGCTTTATGGTGCTGAACTCCTTTATCATGCAACATCTGTATTATAGCTTTTCCTTTAGCTTTCTCCAAATACATAGTTTTATAATTTTTATGGGAGGAGTAATCAAAATTCATTGGATTGTTATTAAAAACTGGCTGGTATCAACCCCCCCCCCAAAAAAAAAGAACATGGATTTAAGAGGCTACTCAAGAACATACAGAGATTTGGTTGCTAACCTTTTCTGAATATATTTTTAAAATCTTTTATTCTCTGGAACTTTAAGCATACACATTTAAAAAATATCAGAGTGGGAGCAAAATCTAGCTTAAATGGATCATGAATGAAATATAATGTTCTAGATTTACAGCACAGTATTGATCTCTATGGGCCCATGGTAGGGTTTCCTTTCTTCACCCTGCAGCCCACACCAGATCCTTCACTAGGCTAAGGCCCTGCTGCCAGGTTAATTGCCTTGATGATGCCACTCCCCTGGTACCCAGTTGATGAAATCGCTCCCTCTGCCCTGCATTCCAGACTTTCTATCAGCCCTTTCTAATCGTATTTCTCCTCAGTCTACAAGAAGACTGTGCTGCTCCCTGGCAGCTGCCCTTTGGCCCTCATTCCCAGCTAGCTCGGTCAGCCTCTTTTCTGGGGCCTGGCCAGTGCTCTCACCTCTCTGGTCAATTCTTTTTGTCTCATTTGCTGCTTCAGCATTTCCTTCCGACCTAACTTGGAACTTTGGAGTTCCGAAAAGCTTCCCCAGGGTATTCCAATCTTACACTTTGGTTATGAATGAACCGGGAAAGATGTGGCGCATATGTGTGAAGGGTTTGGTTTTTTAAGCAAATTCTACGTGTAAAAATCCTAAAATGTGAACCAGATAAATTGGGAGAGTGGTAGTTTTCACTGTTTTCAAGAAAGAATTCACCAAAGATTTTTGTGAACTAATTCACTTCTTGTACATTTACATATGTAACCACGGACTTTTTTTTTAGCGCTGACTCTTTAAGGATCCCTTCTCGTGCTCAAAGCAAGGCATGACTATTATTTTCCCCTTGGGTATGTGTTGTATTGTTTCTGATGATCACCGTCATGTGCTTTTTCCCAGTTAGAATGGAAGCTTTTCAATCACGAGATATCTCTACTCACCGAAACAGGATGGTGAATGGACCCATTTGCTGTTCATTGAGTACTTGTTAGATGAATGAAATTCTCCTGCACATAGGTTGTCATTAGCTAGTCCAAAGAGTGAGACGACTTGAATTTGTAATACTTGGTGGTATTATAGTTTATTGCAGTGAAAGATTTTATCTTTGTTACCTGTGTGAGTAAAAATGGGATTAAATATAAGGTGCTGATGTCAGGATTCCAGGTTAGATATGTGCCTAGGCCAAAATGGGACTGATTTTGTAAACACAAACAGGAAGAAAATCTTAGGGTTACAGAATGGGTGATTCTTTTAAATACCGACATTATTATTAGCCTGTAGTTGTCTTTTGTTAGAACTGAGAGAAAATGAGTAGTTTTCACTTTTGACATAATATTTAAACCCAGCCCTCCAGAGATAATTTTGCTTGATTGAACATCTCATCTTTTAGACTTGGTAGAGTAGGTAGGCAGGGGAGAGTCATCATTAAAATTCAGTGCTCCAAATGTTTTTCCTTTCAGAGAATATTTGGAGAAGCTGCTGAAAAGAATTTATATCTCTCTCAGTTAATTATTTTGGATACACTGGAAAAATGCCTTGCTGGGGTAAGTGATTTGGTAAGTCTTGTGAATTTGCTCTTGAAATTGATCACCTACATTCAAATGTGTCAGGTGCGTGTGCAGAGAAAAGTGATATATCTTTGTACTTAGGAAACTTTAATTGCACTTAAATTTTGTTAACTGAATTGATCAGGCCATGCATTTAATGTGTGTAATGGGAAATAATTTTCCTGTCTTTAGCACATTAATTAGGTAATTGCTGCTTTCTTCATATGCTTAGAATACTTACCAGGGTTAGCAGAACAAAAATGTGACCTACTTTTCTCCTCTTTTTAAAAAAGACTCTTGCCTTTTGGGAAAGATTTTATGAAGATGTGAGCATTTTATTTAATTAATTTTTGGAAAAGATGAGTTTGTTTATTATATTTTAACAGAATGGCAAAGATGACTATAAACATTAAATTTTTCACTATGATCTTGTTAAAAATCTATACAAATAAGTTATTTTATTAGTATTCAAAATCATTATGGACACAGTTAACTATTTTTGTTTACATTTGGGTGGAAGGTCAATTAATTTCTACTTTGAGGATATCGACATTTTTTATTACCGTAGGGAAATAGGATTTAAAGCAATCTATATAATTTACTTCTCTCTCAAATTGGCAATCAGCAGGTTTAGAAAAGGGGCCAGCCTTTTAAAAAAATTTTTTTTAATTTAAAGCTTCTTATTTATGCTATCATTTCTCAATATGGAGTTGGAGTGGAGGAGGAGTAGACTAGGAGATGGGATGGGAAAGCCACACAGCTTTGCACCTTCTTAAATTAGTGCTTCTCAAGGTGTGCCTTTCTACTTAATTGGGTACATCTGTGTTTAATGAAACTTATTTTTAATGTGGGTTATTATAATGTAGTGAATTCTTGGTTTACAAAACACTTTCCTGAGTTAGGTAAAGAAAAACAAGTCTAAAGCTAACTAGGACTTTTGGCTGATCCTTTATTTAGAATTTTCTCTTCACTAGCCACTCTGAGTAAGCATATATATTCAGTAGGTATGAGCCAGTGGATACAAACTTCAAAAAACTATGGCCAGTGTTATTGACTGATCCATGACACTTTGTCCTGTGAATGTCTGTGTAGTAATGCACATGTCTGTGATTTCATCAGTGTAGTAAACTGAGCCTTAATCTGCCATGACACCGTGGGGGAGCCCATGTGTGAGTTAGAACCTTAGCGAGGTGCCTGGGAGCATGGGGAGGTTGTGCCTTGCTCAGGGTTCCTTCCCTAAGTGCTGTGTGACAAAGACGGTGCTGGAATCCTGGTCTTCCTGGCTCTGATCATTGTACGGTGCTGCCTCATGTCTTGGGGGCAGCTTAATGGAAATGGAAACAGATGTGTGATGCATCTTGGATATATGTTACTTAAGAACTTTTAATTTACATGTTTAAAGAGCATTAGTTTGCTTTGTTGAATTTCCTTAAAATACCCCAGTGAGCTGTGAAATACTTTGAGATTTGCCTTTGTAGATGGAGACATGCTTGAAAGCAAGTTGAGGCAGTTTCTTTAAAACTGAGCCAAATGTTATCAAGACACTGTGGTTAGTAATGATGTACTGAGGGAATACTTGAAACTAGGCTTAGGTTAGCCAGATGACAGAGACCACAACTCCCTGGTCTTCCCTTGGATAATTTGATGAGCTCTCTTGGAGAAATCTCAAAGTATTGGTCCTTGTGCCAGACAGGCATTCTTAGTTCCCAAATTTCCGTTTGGACGACTGAAAGGGATTAATTCACGTTGGAGTCGATGCTTCCATCACTTAACAGTTTCTTAGTAATAGGTTAACTCATCTTAGCTTGAATTGTAACATTTTCATCTTGCTCTGATAGGGATTGAATTACAGCTGGCAGCAGAATAAGAATGAAAAGGATAATTTTATTCTCTCCTACTTGTGTGAATTTGGGGAATGATCTCATGGGACTTCATCAATAACCATTTGGGCAGTGATGGCCTAGGGTCTGGATGCTGTGGAGGTCTTGGCTCAGATGGGTGCTTGCCAGTGGTTCTACCAAAGGTCCTGAGCCATCTCTGTTCCACGTCGTCTCTGTGCTAGGGTGTTTTTACTACGTGGAAATTTAAACAGGTCAAGTCTTGCTCTTATTTCAGCAGCCAAAGGACACGATGAGGTTAGATGAAACAATGTTGGTCAAGCAGTTGCTGCCAGAAATTTGCCATTTCATCCACACCTATCGGGAAGGGAATCAGCACGCGGCTGAACTTAGGAGCTCTGCCTCTGGTGTCCTCTTCTCCCTCAGCTGTAATCACTTCAACGCCGTCTTCAGTCGTATTTCTACCAGGTGAGTGTGCGGAGCAATTCGGGCTTCAAACAGAGATGAATAAAGTGCGTGGTGCATCTTCACAGAAGGCTAGCTCTAATCTAAAGTCATTCAATTCAGCAAACATTTATTAATCACCTACTGTGTGCCAGGTACAAAGACAACAGAGCAATAGCTCCTGCCTTCAGGGAGCTTCTGTTCTACAGGAAGATGACAACATGTACACAGAGAAGTAAATACTAAGTATACATAAAATCAGTACAAAGTACCTTTATGGGTGGGTGGGTGGAGGCACTAACAATTGGGACGATTAGGGAAAGCATCTGGAAGGCCATGGTGCTTGGATTGAGTCTTGAAGACGATGTTTAGGCTCTCAAAAGGCAGCAGTGAGGAGACAGCATTCCAGGCTGGGGTACAGCCTGTTATGGGCCTGTTCAGCTGGTCCATTGAGGGTGTATAAGAGTGTAGTGTGGGAGGGGGTTCTGGAGCCAGATAGGAAAGGATGTTAAAGGCCAAATGGAGAAGTTTCTATTTTATCTTAGAGGCAATAAATAGAAAATACTCTGAGATTTTTGAGCGGGGGAATAGTATGTCCAGACAGTTGTGAATTTAATTTGAATAGTGACAAACTTTTTATACAAGAATTCAGTTTCTTTTCTCAAGTTAATATTGCTGCTTTGGTGCTGTGGTCATTTTTTGCCTACATGTGAGAATTTTTAGGGGGAAAGAACAATGGAAACATCAATTATATCCACATAGTCACAATGGAGACTGTAGAATATTTGTAAATATTGGGTTTGATTCTAAATTGTTTTTTTAAAATATATTCCACTTAATTAAAATAAGACAACCAGATGGAATTGATGTGAGGGTAATAGTCATTTTAAATGATATTCAGTGGTCTGTATTCCTCAGAAGCTCCCGAGTAAGCCCTCACCTGCCTGAATTCCTCAGGGAATGAATGAGTTGTTTGGAACAGCTGTTTTCTTGCGTGCATGAAATTCATTTGATCCCTTATTGATACCTCTTGGAATCTCAGCTTCTTTTCAGGCTCAATTCAGGTGCCTTCACCCATGGAAAGCCTTTCCTGCATCCCCTTAGGTGCCTGAGCTCTTAGATATTTTGAGTATCTCCTCAGTAGAATGGAAGCTTACATTCATGGGGGCAGGGACTAGCTTACCATTTAGCACAATGCCTTGCACCAAAGAGATAACTCAATAAATGCTCTTGAATTGAATTTCCTTGGATAGCTGACCTTTCTGTATTAGGATTTTATTTGACCTTTTCTAAACTATAGCATACTTTTCTATACTTTTTTGGTCATTTACAATATAACTAACTTCTGGATGAGAGAAGTCATTATTAGCGTCAATTATTGAGTTGTTTCAGAAGATGATGTAGAGTAAAGGTTCTTAATGTGTAGTTGGTGAGTTTATTTTTAAAATAAATTTTGATAACTATTTTAATCCCATTGATTTCCATTGTAAATCATGTATTTCATTTTTATGTGTTTAAAAACACTCTTCAGAGAAGAAATGGATCTGTTGGCTTCTCTACCAACCTGCCGCCAAAGGGGTCCAATACACAGCAGAAGTGGAGAAGCCCTGGTCTCGGACAAAGGGTTGAGGGTGGTATTACCAGCGGTGACCTGGACTCGTTTGATTAAGTCTTTGATGCTAGCTTGTTTTTCAGTCACTGACTTCCTTCTTGTTGGAATCTTAAGTGAAGCATGTGAAGAGGGTGTGATCTGGGCACTCTAAGGACCCTTGTTCCTCCAGACTAACAAGAATCAGAAGCACATTCGTAATTCACTGTTGGAGGATGTTTTTAAGTTTGCAAAGCATTCTCTCTTCCAGACATGTGGAAGCTTAGCTGGGCACCCGACTAGGGGCTTGGGTGAGATTAGTTAATCCGAGATAAAGCAGTTTTCTCTTCAGTAGTTTTGTTCTCCTCTGGAAAGAGTTAGCTTCATAGTTGCTTTTATTGATGTCTGACTTGTTAAGACCAATCAGAATGTCTTCTGAGATGTTGATATCATTAACACAGAGGGCTAGACCACCTTTCTTGACTTTCTCCTGTTACTCTAAAATGTCATTTATTTCCCTTTAACTCCTGTCCCCTTGATTGAACCCTGCCCCCTATCCAAGAACAGCATCTCAAGCGATCCAGGTGACTCTGCCTGCCATTGGTGTCAGCCTTTCTGCCATAAGGACTGCCCCGGCCTCCTTCTTGCCATAGCAGGAAGGTCCACTTCCTTGTCGTTCAAGCTCAGTCCAAAGT